ATTAGTATTTTCATCAATAACAGTTTAAGTGGGTTGTTGAATATTGGAAACCAGGCATACATTTATCTTCCAGGCTGATGGATGTTCTTTTGATCACCAGGACATTGAATAATTAAGGCAGGTAAAGCCTGTGGTAGTCTCCATCATTGTTTTAGGGAATCCTCAGCAGCCAGGATGTCTTCACTTGCCTCTCTGAGTTGGTACGTGTTTTTAATATGCCTGAACTAGCAAACAACAGGGATATGTGGTCATTGGTGCTACCTATTGACAGCTCACATTTTTTCTATCTGTGCAAGTTTCTAGACAGGGAAGCTGATAAGTTTAATGAAAGTAGATGACTTGTTGGCAGAACTGGGACTTGAACACTGTCTTCTGTTAAACTCAGTGCTCTTTCACTGTTTCACTTCCTCCCAAAAGCAAAATGCTTCAGGCATGCTCCAGAAATGGAAACAACCCAAAGTTCTCCCTTTTCATACAGTTTATGAAAGATCAAGTACCTAATTTGATGAGCCATTTGTTAAGCTGATTGTGGAGCATTTTGTTGTTGTGTTTTCTTTCTTTGCATAGTTACTATTTATGATTATAGGTTCTGCCATTTGGGAGGTGTGTCTGTGTATTTAGTCTCAATAGAGGTATGGCTAGCTAGTTGATTAAATAAGAAAAATGTTGAGAGTATGTGGTAGGAGACTGACGTCAATAAATTGAATAAGTCTTCCTGTTTTTATTTATTGTTGTGTTCTTCCAGCCCTGCTTAGTTATGTTAAATACCCCTGACCTTTTCCCCTACTTGCCTTTCAGGGCCTAAACATTCATATAAAGACTTCCAATGTGATTAGCATTGATGCTTCTGTGATTGCTTAAAAACTGGTGGTCAGAGATTAATTGTGGGTTGCAGCAGTGGGCAGCCCAGGAGGCTTTTACATCTGCCTCTTCCCTGGATTGAAAATGCTGTTGGGGCCATATGGCAGAGTGCTTCAGAGAAAAGCCAAGAACGGCTTTCTGGCTGGGTTCCAGATTATCACTTGCTTCCATTTTAAAGTGGAGTTTATAGTGCTTTGGGTTTGATTTACTATATACTAATAGGATTAATCCATAACTTGAGATCACATGGGTGTGTGTGTGTGTGTGTGTGTGTGTGTGTGTGTGTCTAGAATCTAATTCCAGTAATGTTATCAATATTCCATTCAGGGAAAGATTTTATTAGACTATGTTTCTCTTTATGTGTATGGAAAGAAAAACACCAGTTAGTATCTGACCCCTGATTGACTTACTCCCTTGGGAAAAAAAAAAGTTTTGTTTAGAACAAAGTGACGTTTGCCTGACTGGCTTTTCCTGTTTACTTCCTTCAGCAATCTGGAATTGTCAGTTAAATGCAGCTTATGATTTAGCTGCATTCAGTTAAATGCCAAATGTCTTCC